GGATGGGAAGGGAATGCAAAACCGCAACCACGAACGAACAACTCAACCAGTGCTTTGCAGGGTCAAACGGGCGGACGGACGCCTTGTTGCATCCTGCAGAAGGCTGTTGTGCATGCAAAGTATGGCATTGGCATGGCATCGCATCGCATCGCATAACAAAGCACAACATACCATGCCACCGCATGGCACGCATTTTTTTTTCTTTGCCGCACCTCGAATGAATGGCCATCTTTCAATGGACAGGAAAAGAAGGGGGTGAAGAACAAGGAGGATAAGGAGTGAGAGGATGAGGAAGCAACTCTGCTTTCCACTCAAACTCGTTCAGAAAGGTACACACAAACATACAATAACACAACACACCACAGCTCCTCCTGTTCTACCTCTCTTCCATTCATAGAAGCCTATAGCAAAGGATATGATACACAAATAGCATTGTACCTTTTGAACTTCTTCCATGCAGTAATGCGGCAGAGGATGGCGCATTGATGGGGCGCCCAGGGTGGCACTGAAGAGAGGGAGAGCGAAGCGGCAAGTCTATCACGCAATGAATGGCGAAGAAAGAAGGAAATCGTCGGTAGACCAGAGGGGGTGAGAGAAATTCATTGCGGTCCGTCGATCTTTTTCTTTCCTTTGTTCGCTCGCGCTTGTGCTGCGTTGGCCCATAACCGGTCCAGTCTGAGGGAGCAGCCATGCCCATAATTACATAGGAAGTCCTTCAGCTGATGCCACCCCTCCCTCGCCGCCTGGGCCACTGACTCGAATATCTTGCTACATCTTTTGTCTTGTCCATTCCCGGCATAGAAAGATAGGAGGGAAAGAGGAATGGCTATCTTGCACCTTGTAACGCCCGTGATCCGTCGTCAACGCTGCGCCTTGGAAGAGTAGACACTTCTGATTTACACGCTTGTTGGATTTTTGCAACCTACAGTACAGCGGGATGGGCAAGCAAGCAGGGAGGCAAGTAGGCAGGCAAAACAGACATGGAGGTTGCTAATCTTTATTTCTCTTGCAAGAACCGATTTCAACGGTTATGAACATGCTCGCTGTCCCTGGGTTGCCCCCTTGTCTGTCCATGTGGATAGAAAGAAAGTAAAGACAAATCCTTGATACGCTCCCGCTTGCCATTCATGCAACCATATCTGCTAAGGGGAGAGGGTGGAGCTGTTCTCATTCATGCAAACGAATGTGCGTGCGTGTGCAACAGGGATGGAGTTTCTTTATTGCGCCGCTCTGGGTCCAAAAAAAAAAAAAAAAAAAAGTTCGGTGCATGCTGTCTCTACCATAACATCTTGCTGGGTCATGTATCCTTCTCTGAAATGGTTATTCCTGCAGACACGAAGAACGGTAGGCCCTTGCATCGACAACGCGATCCCGACAGTATCATGTTTGTGACAAGGTCGCTCCGAGGAGCTGGAAAATATTTACCGTGTCTTGCCCTACTACAGCTTGAACCATGACCGTTGTCACTCATAACACCTTTCATCCCCAATCCACGGTTCACAATGACATAAACCAACAGTGCAAGGCATGATGACATTGTTCCCTGCAGGCGGCGCTTAAAACCATGTTACAGACCCTCGCCCAGCTCTGTCATTCACGCATTCCAACATAATCATTCTTTACCGCACCTTTTCTCTCGTTGAGGATCTCATCAGTGGTTTTTTTCATGTTCGCTTAGCTGACGTACGTTTTCCTCTCTGTGGTGGCTGTGCGGGTCAAACGCGCATAGTTCGTGAGGTCGTCTCGTCCTGCTGATTAGATCAGAGCCCTGGTGCACGGATTTGAAAAGTCTTGGCTTCCCTTGCTTCACGGCTGTTGTTGAACGTGGACGCTCCTAGTGCGCTTGTGCATGCGAGCATCGGAGCCAAGAGAAATGGAAAGGAGCAGGGAGAAAAAAGAAGAAAGTCGAAAAGTTGGGCCTTTTTTTTTAGACCCAAGCAATGGTGGTGGCACATCAAACATCGTCATGGTTTGGCGGTGCGTATAATCGGGCCAACCCCTCCCACCACAGCGAACAGGAGGGCTAGTCTGGACCCGATGTAATTATTTTTGGCACTGCAGAGAGAAGCGACGCGCTCAAGCAAGGTGCATTGCAGCAATACACCACTGCTCTTGCGTTAGACGGGCAGCAAGCAAAGCAGCATGGTCATCAACGAGAGCATGCGTACATGTCGATGTAAGACGAGTAGGCTGGCATCATACACATGGATGAGCCAGTGTGAGCACGAGCACATATTAGCACTATTGCGAGTACATGAGGTGCGATGAGTGCGCATGCGAACCACAGACAGGAAACAATACCCATCCCATCCGTCATTGAGGTCGTGGTCATGACGGAGCATGGCACGCACATTGTATATTTGACCACCACGACAGTAGCTGACAGACTGGTTCCCCTTTCTCTCTCCCGCCGTTCTCTGTTTCCTTCATCCTCGTCATCTTCCTCTTGCCCCATTCCCATTCCTTGCTCCATTCCATTTCCCCCCCTCCTCCTCCTTCTCCTCTTCCACCCATCCACTGGACCCGTGTGTTGTTCCTCGCCCTTTCGTTCATGCTCGTCTATCATCCCTTCCTTCATTCTTTTTCTTTTTTCACCTCCTATCGTACCGATACTCCTTTGAATTCTGTTTCTTTTACCCCTATTGCATCTGCTTGCTTTTTTTTTTTTTTTTTCCTCTCCTCGGTCACAGCATTCTCATTATGGATGCACACGCGCCCATTGCATACTACCAGACCGCACTCCCAGCAGGACATCCCATGCCATATCCGTCAGGTCGAGCCTCGCTCGGCATGGGAGCCTTAATGCCCATATCCATAGACCCGATGGGTGTGAGTGCACCTGTTTACAGTAGTCTGGCTCAAATATCATCGGCAGACTCTTTGGGGCCGGTGCACTCTGGATACAGCTCTACTCAATATCACTCTGCGCCAGCAACATCAGTTCCTCAGCCATACCAGCAGCAGGCACCGCTAGCACAAATGCATGTTCGCCAGCAACAACAGCAACAGTACATGCCCCATCAAGGCATGGTGACGACGATGCCGCAAAGTCAACCTCAGCCCCTTCAGCAGCAACACATGCACCAACAGCAACCTACACAACAACCTCTGCACTCGATAACGACCCCTCACCACAGTCTATCGCACTCACACACATATAAGCAACAGCAACATCAGTCCAGTGCTCAACAGCCATACCTCCAACCACAACAACAACAACAACAACAACAACAACAACAACAACAACAACAGCAGCAGCATGCACAACAACTGCATCAAATGCAGCACCAGCAGCAACAGCAGGTGCAACAACTGCAGCCCCAGCACCATATCCAGGCACAACAAGTCCAGCAAGTACAGCAAACACAGCAGCACCAGCAGATTCTTGGTCCTGCGGTTGTCACGTCCCACCCCACCCATCATACCCAGGGTCAAATACAACCTCAATTTCATCAGCAAATGAATCCACCCATCAAATCTCAGAGTCAGCAGCAACGGCAGCAACATTACCAGCAACAGCAGCGCGACCACAGTCGGGACCGCAGAAATGGTCACTCAAATCCTGCAGCAATGGATCATGTCATCAACCCGCAGACCAGCACCCTACAGCTGGCAGAGTTCGCGTCTGTCATGGTTTATACCCTGTGGCACACGCGGCCAAACATCAATGGAGCTTCCAGCAATGCCTACAACGTTGTTCCTCACCGGATAAGCGTACCATCATCCGCTGGACCTGCTTTCAAAAAGTTCTGTTTAAAGGTAAGACAATCTGCTTAGGAGTGAAAAAACTCCGTCCTGGATCTCGCGGGGATATATGCTACTTCGGCAATATTGCCTGTTGTATGAAACGCACATGGGCGCATGCATGTTTATATGTGTCAACGTTTCCTTCCCCCTAGGGAGTTTTTTTCTTGACTCACTTGCTCACTATTTTCTTTTTGCTTGCCTCCTTAGGTTTTATCTGCCACACAGCTCTCTTCATCTGTCATTTTACTGTCGCTTAAGTATATTCAAAAGCTGCTGAAGAATAATCCCTCGATTCATGGACAGCAAGGATCAGAGTTTCGACTTTTTACGGTGTCGTTGATGTTGGCCAATAAATTTCTGGACGACAATACGTTTACCAACAAGACGTGGTCAGAGGTGACGGGGATTAGTGTCAAGGAGATTAATGTGATGGAGATGGAGTTTCTAAACCAGGTCCAGTTCAGTCTGTTTGTGAGCGAGGCAGAATATCTGGATTGGCTTCATAGTCTTGAGACATGGCTCAAGCAACAAGGCCAAGGAGGACCAACATCGGACAGCCATTAGTCAGACTCATCAGTTACTTCTTGTCAGTATCTCAGCGCCTCAGTACCTCAGTGCGTTGCTCGTTGCTCGTTGCTCGTTGCATCTATGGTTGTGGTCCCTCAATAAAGCTCGGCAACACCACATGCTGTGGTATAGTACAGATATCGGAACTATCGGAGTTACACAAGAACAGATGAACCACGCGCTCTTGAATTGTAATAGAGAGGCGCGCAACCAGTACAAGCGCAATCACGAACCCTTCTTTATTCGCGCTGGGGCTTTTTCAAAAAAACCTAGCTCGTTGAGCTAGCATGGCAATCACAACGTGAAAGTTAGTACCAAAAGAAAAAGGGTGAATCTATTTGACAACCCATGCTCCAGTTCCGTGTCAAGTCCATGTAAGACACTTTTTGCCTTCTAATCTCTACATTGCCTTGTTTTTATAACAAACCCTCGCAGTTTTTGCGCTCAACTGGTTGCCTGCCTCCCTGCAGTCCGCGTCATGAAGCCTACGTCTCTTGTCGTCATCAATACAGCTTCAATGATCACCTTCAAGGAAATACCAACAGTACTTAAAGGGTAAGCGAAGGAAAACAAGAGTTTCACTTCTTTTCTTCTCAAAAGCAGAAGAAGTGTGTTACATAAACTTAGTACGGAAAGCCGAGATTGTCAAATAGATCAACCCAAAAAAACACCATGAAGAAAAAGAATGCCTCAACCCGGATTTGAACCAGGGACCTCTTGTTTACAAGACAAGTGCGCTAACCACTGTGCCATTGAGGCGATCAACCAACCGGATTACTTCGATCTGATTGCCACGTTAGAAAATTGGAAATACTTATACCTCTCTAAACTTAAGTCAATTGACGCAGCGGAGTGTCTATCACGTGATACAAGTTTAAGGGGTACGGAGCGTTGGCGGGCTTTCCTGAGGCTGGAGGTCCGTGGATCAAGACCAAGGGAAGCGCTGTTGTTTCGTGCATGGATTGTTCGAAGGAGCCACACAACAAAATCAGGCGATAAACTTATGCAAGTGCCGTGCGGGACAAGTACCTTGTGGAACGTAATATTCTGTCGAGTACACAAGGGATGGAGGTCATACAGCAGCCACCACACCAGTACAGCGGGAAAAAAAAAAAAAAAACTTTGCGCAACAGGCCAAGCAAGAAGCCAATCCTCCGAGTTACCGCTCATGCTGATGCAGATCGTGAAAGAGACCTGGCAGTGACATTTTTTTTTTTAGATACCACTTTTCCTTACTTTTTTGGTATCAAAGATCCCTGGAGGATGGTATTATGCTAATGAACTAATTGTCAAGAGGAAGAAAAAAAAATAAGAACCGAGCGGCTTCTCCATTAACAAAGAAAATGGCTTTAACCAAGGCCATGGGCGGGTTTTTAGAATAAAACAGTCAACAAATACGAAATGAAGAGGCAATATTAGAATATCTTCGACGATTTCGTCGTTGCTTGATTGTTTGATCATTGAGGTTGGTGCTCAGCAGCATGCAAAAATTCTTGGCAACACTTTTTTTTTTTTTTTTGCGTTCTTCTTGGGACGAGCCTCATTGACGAAAAAAAAACAAAATAAAAATAAGCATAAAAAAAAAAACGGAAATAAATTAGCCGACGGGACAGAAGAGGTTTTCGCCATTCATGCCTGATCTTTTCTCTTCTTATTCTTGACCACGTCCAGAAAGCTTTATGCTGCATGCGAGGATGGCATCCTATGGAATTCCTTGTGTTGATTCATACAAGGGTAGCTGTTAAACGGTGCATGAGTTATCCACCACTGCAGACATGCAGCGTACCATGCAAAAGACACTAGAGAAAAAATGGTCATTGATACCACATGCATGAGGCTGAGAGCCATCGAACAGAGAGTCATTCTCTGTTAGATGTACGTTTTCTTGTGCCAACACTGGGTTGCTACTGCTGCTGATACTGCAAAAAAAAAAAAAAAAAAAAAGAGGATGTTTTACTTTATAAATTTGTAGACCATGGTGAACTCTTTCTTTCTCCAACTTCATTATCTTCAAACTTGGGCGCGTATGAACAAATGTTTGTTTGGCACCTTCAATTTAGGGATCCATGCGGAAAGAACCAAGTGTACTGTACCATCCTTTTTTTTATTGGCATTTGACTGAACGCGCCGCTCATATGAATCTGCGGACCGGTAGTGCGCATCAAATACCGTAGTCCCGTGAAAAAAAAAAAAAAAAAAAAATAGGCGCTGCGCTCTGAAGGAGTAATTTATATTTCTTTTTCCTCTGACAGTTGCAAGTAATTTATTCCGCATCTACTCTTTGCGATGCTGAAGGAAGCTGTCTCATAGTCATGCATATCATGACGACTCAATCTTTCGAAAAACTATTAATATAAAAAAAGGCCAAAGATGGAAAGAATACGCGCAAGTGGGTAGAAGAAGGACAAAAAGAGAGAATGAGAATCCAAGAAAGAGATTGCTGGCCATTGAAAATAAGGGACGTATGCAGATTGATTTTCGCCATAACAAAAAAGTAATTAAGTCCGCATGTATTGTTAAGTATGGTGCGAGCCTTCAACAGTGCCAGCTGCAGTGCTTGGTATCTGAAGAAAGTGAATCTCAACTCGCAATTGCCTCGTAGTATCATGATGAATGGGCTATACCCTTCCGAGACATAAGAAACGTCGTGGGGCTATATATTCCTTGTTTGATGCTTATTTTTTCCCCTTTAGTTGTGTGCGTGCTAGGCCAAATACTATTAGCCAAGTAGTTTTGGTGAAGAAATGGAAAGAGAGGGGAAACCCCAACAATAACAATAACAACAACAACAACAGCAGCAGTAGCAACAACAACAACAACAACAATAACACCAACAACAACAACAATAACAACAACAACAACAACAACAACAACAACACAACAACAACACAACAACAAATAATTCATAATGCAGCCATAGTCATCACAAAACACCAAGAAGGGGGTCTTCACAAGGGCAACACCCACGTTTTCCCCTTCGTGCAATGGGAATTAGTGATCAGAATTTGAAGCAACGTGAACGATGATCGCAAGAAGAATTGTTGGATGATCGAATGACGCAAGGCAATGACTAGAGATGCACTCGTGCATCTATTCATCTTTTGGTCCGCCAGTCATGAGGCGCAGATTTGTCGTCAGAGATAATCATCTTGGATAGATAAATGGACTTAAGCGCTTCTGGACAATATTAGCACGATCGCTTGTCATTATTCAGAGGATGCAGCAGCAGCAGCAGTTTTTTTTTTTTTTTTTTTTTTTTTAAAAAAAAGAACTTCTTAAATGGGTTGCGTGTAATTGTATGGTGCGGTGATGATTGGCAGTTATTCTATATGCACGATGCTCCCGTTGAAGATGAATAAATGCGGTGAGGCCAAAGAATATAACAATACAAACATAGCACAACAGCGGATGAGAATGCACAAAGAATTGATCAAAGCAGGGGTGGTATGGAGAAACAACGTGCTCAAATTTTAAGACGGAGACTCGCACCGGCCATAATTCGTTTCGCCACTGTTGGTTGTGGGCATAAGTGTTGAGATTGAAGAAAGTCCACCCGCATAAGCATTTCCTCTGTTGGATACACGTTGCGAAGTTTACCGCTGGATGGTAGACGATCCGTCGGTCATACTTGAAACCCCGGAATCTGTTTCGCTATGCTTGTTGAGAGTTGGATTGATGTCCCCAACTGTAGAACGTGCCTTGGAGTCCGAAGGGAGGTGAATCTGGCCGTCTGAACCCAGAAAACGACTCTTTCTTCGCGTCTTGTGTTGATTTTTCTCACTGACGGCCCATTCCTCAGCAATAATTTTCATGCGCTAGAATAGAAAGAGATGAAAGGTGAACCACCATAGGTTAGTAGCCGCATTGACGAATCGAGGATGGCACTTTTGATCATCTGCCGCTCCTTTGTAGCTATGACTTGACTACCTGACGCTGAAGAATAAAAATAAATAAAATAAAATAAAATAAATAATAAAAATAAAAAGTACAACATAAAAAGATCAAGGGTGCAATATTTGCACTTCTGAACGTTCCGTTGACGAAGCATACAATAGAGCTCCAATTACTACACGGTGGTGCCTTGTAAACCAGAGTGCCTACTCCCACGATCTGGGCTCACGTAAAAGAATCATCTGTCACTTGTAGACACCCATGCCGTTTGACGTGAGTGCAGAGCAGGTGAACTTTGACCAGTATCCTTGACTGTCGAATGAGCTCCGCCAACACTATCATCTGAGATGGCATCGATCGATGCTATGTCGCTTTTTTATTACCTGCTGTGCTGTCAGTTCTGATCGATCCTTGGCCAACTCCTTGCTACGCTGCTGTAAAAATCTGTCGTAGGCCGTGGATTTCCTGCTCACACCTGCCTTCTTGGGCCGATGCAGGATCTTTCCAGTCTTTGTTGTTTTGACGTTTGGGTTGGTGGTTCTCCTGATGGATACTTGGCGAGCAGGAGTGTTCTTTGACTCCTTGGCAGACTCCGATGTTATTTTTTCTTCCTCTGCATGTGCTACACTAGGCACCAGGTTTCCGTCTTGCTCATTTTCGCTCTTGACTGCAAAACTCCTTGTTGGCGGCCCGTCGGGACCTTGATTGATGAATGCTATAGAGTTCAGATGGACAGGGTGATGTTCTCGAACACAGCCCTGGCTCCCCGGAAAAAAAGAATCGCTTGATGCTCGATTTTGCATGAATGGCAATGATGTGGTTGTAAGATGAAGTCCGGAAGAGGGGGGGTGGACGGATTGATCGTCTGCGGACCCTAAAGGTGGCAGTCGCAGATCGGTCGGCAATACGTCTTGTTCTTCATGTGTGTTAGCTTGTGATACGAAACTGTCCGCAGGAAGAAGAAGAGGTGATGCATTTTCGGAAGTATTGGGAGATGATCTCGGCGAAGGGCTGAAGATTGGCGACACATGGGATATGTGCGGCGACACGTGCGTTGGATGAATGAGAAATGAAATCGGAATGGCCTGTTGCCGCCTTGCTGTAGAAGCAGTGGATGATGAGTAGTCATCTGGATGGGAAGCAGCAGACTCGGCAGGTGCGAAGGATAAGGTGGTGTCAACTTGATTGGCAGCTGCAGGATGACGGTGTTGGCTTGAAGAGGAAGAAGAGGTCAAAAGGCGTTGTTGAGATGTGTTGAGATTCATGGCCGAGATTCTAGTGTACCAGGAGAGCGGTGAAGATGACGACGAGGACGAGCTGGGGGAGAGGCGTGGAGAAGTGACAGTCTTGATCCGGTGGTCCTGCTTCGTAGTTTTAAGAGGTCGGCCTCTTCGAGTCATTGTGGTCGGGATATGTAGCAAACGAAGGAAAGCGATCGATCACAGCTATCCACTATCATTGGATTACAGGCAGCAATCGGCAAGAAGGCGAGAAAGGCATACATCAACAGCCTGTCTTTCGTAGAGGTTGGGCAGAGAAGGCGAATTATGGCAGTACGATAGAACAAAAGGTCGAAGAGGCAGTTGAGGCAGAAGAAGAAAAAGAAGAACGGCGAAAGTGTGAGAATAAAATAACGAGGCACGTTGCTGCGTTAAGATGTCGGAAAAGGCTGCGAAAGTGACGAGCAAGCGATCATGGCTTAGTGTGATGGTGCTTTGAGGAGGCGGAAGCGTGTGAGAGGTAGGTCGGTAGGTCAAGTAGGGACGGTTCAGAGGGGAGGACGGCCGGAGCACAGGACAGGCGGAGGGGCGGATAGATGTGTGGCGAAGGGGGGTGGTGCCTGGCAGGGGAAGAGATGAGACAGCAGT